GACTACATAGATAGATTTCCTCCATGATGATCTGGTCACCCTCTTCTTCTCTTTTCTTCTATCATTCCCAGCATTAGAGCCTTCTCCATGCATGTATTTGCCTGTAATTTTTCCGATAGTCTTAAAATTATCTTTCATTTTACTTCTCTTGTTACTATCCTCTATGCATTCCTATTCTTGACTGAGGTTTTTCCTTGTTCTGTCTTGCTTGATGTTGAAAGTCTGGTTCAGTTGTTACCCATCATTCTGTTGAGCAGAGTATAGCAGTGTTTTCAGTCCTGGAGTAGCATTTTTAGAGCCTCTCGCCTGGACACTCTGGGCACTCTGGGTCCTCAAGCCTGGGTTCTGGTTCCTTGTTCTGTCTTGCTTGATGTTGAAAGTCTGGTTCAGTTGTTACCCATCATTCTGTTGAGCAGAGTATAGCAGTGTTTTCAGTCCTGGAACAGCATTTTTAGAACCTCACGCCTGGACACTCTGGGCACTCTGGGACCTCAAGCCTGGGTTCTGGTTCTGGGTTTTGGGTTCTGGTTCTGGGTCCTGGGCCCATAACCTGTTGAGCAGAGTATAGCAGTGTTTTCAGAAAAACTTTTGTTTAAGGAAAAAATATATATCAGCATGAGAGGTTTGTAAACTGTAATGTCCATATCTTGTTTTTTAAAAAAACTCAGCCAAAAAATATATATTATCTGGTTGTTTAAAAACCAAAAACTCTCAGAGAAGAGATATACTATTTGGTTATTAGTTATAACTATATAACCCATAAACCTATATATCTATATGGTGACTAGCACTAAAACAACTATAAGGCTGGACATATAAATGCTCTAGTTATATTATCACTCTATACCCCCCACTAAATAACTAACATGTATATGCCAATAGATGACAATAAATAACAATATATATGTTAACACACAAGTCATATGATCTCTCTCTAATCATAACATTTTTAATAAAGATAATGAGCTATATCTTTTTTTATAAAAAAATCTTAACACATTCTAGTTGCCCTCTGTCTTTTTCTGGCTATCAGGATGAAGCTATCATTGTGTTCTGAATGCCACTTGGATGCTTTTGTCTTTTTGAAATTTTGGGATTATTTTTTTCCACTTTGATTTTTCTGGTATCTCTTATCTCTACCCATAGTTCCTTAAGTTCTCTTTCATAAATTAAGTGAGCTGAATTTGATCCTTATGTTGATTCTGTCTGTATTTCCCCAAGGTAAAATCTTGCTGGCTTACCTAATTCTCTTTAATTTTTCATGTTATTCCATATATTTGACATTAATAATTCATAGCTGGTCGCATGATCTGCAACTGAACATGTCCTGGCTGACTGGAAAGTAGTTCTCCATCTTCTGTTTTCTACAGTATATCATATTTGATCCCAGTGCTGTTCATTTCATGATGCCCACATGTGAAATCTGTGATTGTGTTACTTGAAACAGGTAATGGGAGTGAACAAAGAGTTACCTTCATAAAACTTTAGTGAGCCTATCATCTGAATTATTTTGTGTATCTAAGTCCATTTTTCTTGTAATTTTAGTCCCCTGCATTTCTGCAGCTTCTGCATTCCAATCACCCTTTAGTAGTACTACACTCTTTCTAGATAATGCATTTAGCACCTCTTGCCTTTTTCCCTTGGTGTTCAGAAGATACAGACCAATTC